CTTTCCAATCCAAACCAGTCTGTGATTCTATAATTCTAAGTGTAGTGGCATGTAAAACATGGAAAAAATCCAACCACAATTCTACCACTGACTGAAGTAGCAAGTTAGTCTAGAAAAGCAGTAATCCCTTACCTGAGCTGCACAGATACTGTACTGGGTAAACATGGCCTCATACAGAGCCATCAGTCCACTCTGGCCAGCTGCTGCACAAGCTCGTGCCTCCAAGACTGGAATAGCCTACAAAGATGAAGAAAAGCTGTCAGGCAGTGCCTTGAGCAGGTACTCCCCAACATACAGTGGAAAACAGGAATGTCACTAGCCACTCACCATGTCTTTCAGCTGACTCTGGCCTGAATGAAGCGCTTGCCTCACACTCTGAGAAAGCAAGATCTCATGACGCAACCGCTGCTTCCCAAAGGCTACAGCACCACTGGTGACAATCATCATCTCCCGGCCCTGATTTTGCAGCACAGACACCTGTAAGCACAGTACACAAGAAATAGGAGTATGAGCACTGCCAGCATGACAGCTCTGGCTATTTACAGAAAACCCTTAGGCTCTCCAATTCTTGCTAACACAAGTGTTTTGCTTTATTCATGTGCAAACAAGGCAACCATGCTCTAAGATACTCCTGCACACCTTCCCAACCACTTAGGAGCTATGCAAAGGACTGCATGCGCTCTATAGCTTCTGCTAAACTTTCTTTTCACAATACCAGTTTTTATGTCAAAGTTATGTTTACATTTTCACAATATCTATTACACTAATTTAAGGTATTATGTTAACTTTACTTCCCAGAGAAGACATGTCCAATCCACCCCCCAAAGTCACGATTTCATTTTAGAGACTCAATCCATGAGTTGATCCACAGTTTTTCCTACAAGCAATGAGGTTTCAGGCTTTCTCCTGGACAAAATCTGCAAATGTTCATGTTATCAAGAAGGGTCTACTCTTTCTACAGACATCACAAACTTCAGTGCAACCTTCCTACTAGATCAGACTAATGTCCCAGTCATGTCTTACCTACTGCATAAAAATCTCACTGTGTAAATCTCTCCCTCTATACTGAGTCTGGCCAAGACAGAGGTAACTTTCTTCAGAGGTGCCCATATCGTGCTGTGTTTCGGATTTCAGGACTAAAACAGTGTTAATAACACTCCAATGTTTTGCCTGTTGCTAAGTAGTGTTTGCACAGCATTAAAGACTTCTCTTTTTCCCATGCTGAGAAGTACTTTCATAGCATCGAGGCTTTCTTTTTCCCACATCACAGTAGCTAGGCTAGGGGCTGGGCAAGAAGTTCAGAAAGGACACATTTGGGTCAGCTGACACGAACTGGCCCAAGGGACATCCCATAGCATATAATGTCATACTCGGTAACAGAACTGGCATAGCAGAATAGGAAAGGGCAGAGGGCCGTCTTGCAAGGTGGCCGTCACTTGCGGACTAGCTGAGCATCTGTCTGCTTGTGGAAACTAGTGAGCGATTGCCTTAGTATCACTTTTTTCTTTTCCCCTTTCCTTCACTGATGGGGAGTGAATAAGGATCCGGATGCTTAGCAACTGGTTGGGGTCAACCCACCACACCTTCAAACACTTATTTACTGAGTTACATGGTTTATGCGCTACCACAGCACAAGGGATGAAAAAGGGAAAGGCCAGAACATTGCTTTAATGGGCCATCACTGTTCTAAGAGTTTTTCCTACAGTCTTCTGTGCCATCCAACAATCACCAAGCATCTGAAGTTAAAACAAACATTTCACTTCAGTCCCAGAATTACCTGCTCTACAATAGATGCCAGCCTCCCAAGTGCCAAGCCACACTCATCCCCTCGAGTCACAACAGCACTACCCAGCTTCACCACAATCCGCTTTGCATGCTTCAGCTCGCTACGGTGCGCAAACGATTTTCCATGCGCACGGCTGAGTGGCACAGTGATAAATGGGATGTTGCTCCAACAACGGATGGATTCATTCCTTAATCTTTGGTTATGGCGAGGGAGATCTGTGGCTAAAAAAGGAAAATGAAAAATGCAGTTTTGTTTCAATTCAGACTTTAAGGCCTTGAAGTCGTGTAACATTTCCTCCCTTTCCAAGGCTGCAGCTCACAATATGCACATCTCAGTGACTGGGAAGGAAAAGCTAGCTTTTAAGTCACCAAAATAAAGAGTAATATCTGAGCAGCACTAACATCCTTAAGGTATATAAGGCAATACCCCATGTGTCACAGAGCTTTGACTCTGCAAAACTAGAAGACCAAACTGAAGGATGCTGTAAAAGAGACCACACAGCTCACATTGGAAGTTAAAGTACTAGTTTTAAAAACAATCTCCTTTGCCTTGTTGTCTTAGATACAGCTAGAGAGTTTTCCTGACTACAGCAGCGCAGAAAGCTTGACTGTTAGGAAAGAAAAGAAAGACAGCTTTTACAACATCTCTAAGTCAGGTGTTTTTGCATGTTGCTTAACTGGAGACAGCAGAAGGGGAATGATGGACATATGAACTGGAAGTCACCTTCCTACAGGATAAACAGGCATTGGAGAGTGAAGAGACAGTCAGTGTTACTCAGGTAAGATTCATAAGCCTGGCACTTCACCTAAGTCAATGAGCTAGGATACATTTCTCCACAAAAATCCTGCGAAGGACAGCAGATTAAAGAGAATAGTGACTATTTGTCCTGGTTTTGGCTGGGATAGTTTATTTTTTCTTAGTAGCTGGTACAGTGCTGTGTTCTGGATTTAGTATGAGAATAATGTTGCAAGCACACCAATGGTTGAGTTGTTGCTCAGTAGTGCTTACTCTAAATGAAGGACTTTTCAGTCGCACATGCTCTGCCAAAGAGAAGCTGCACAAGAAGCCAGGAGGGAGCAGAGACAGGACCCAAACTAGCCAAAGGGGTATTCCATACCATAGAATGTCATGCCCAGTTTAGAAACAGTGGGGGGGTTAGCTGCAAGGGGATGATCACTGCCTGGGCATCAGTCAGTGGGTGGTGAACAATTGTACTGTGCATCACTTGTGTTCTCGAGTTTTACTCCCCTTTTTCTTTTTCCTATTATTATTATATTTTAATTTATTTCCATTACTAAACTGTTCTTATCTCAAGCCACAAGTTTTAACTTTTTTCGATTCTCTTCCCCATCCCACTGGCTGTATGGTACTTAGTTGCTGGCTGGGTTCAAACCACAATACTATCAAGGTACAATCACAAGGAACAGTCTGGATCCTTTCCAATTGACAAAGAGGTGGATCCAAACACACAGAGTCCCAAAGTTAAGCTGAAGGAATGAAGGCAGATGGAAAGCACTTCCAACATACCTCATATGAAGCTCTGCAGAGCCACAGTGATTTGTGTCTGAAGGAGGAGTCATGCACATAATATACGAATACCTGCAGTCCAAGTGTGTCAGATGGATAATTAACATAATATGGATAAGCCATACGACTTGAAAAAGATTAAAACCACATTTTGTTATTCCCCCATCTAGTTCTTCTTGTATTGCTATTCAGAAACTGCATTAAACCAGGCCAACTTTTGGACAGCCTCAAAAATATCAGTGTAGAAAAAAAAAAAAACCAACAACAAACCAAACAAAACCCAAAAACAAACCCCAAAAACAAAACAAGAAGAACACTTCTGATACAATTACAGAAAAAAAGGCTTCTGACACCACACTCTGGGACCAAAAGTGCAACTTAGTCAAAAGATGTCAGACATTCATGAAAAAATTACAGAGAAGATCATACTGGATACCACTGAAAGGCATTTAAAGACCAATGCAATCATCAGGCACAGCCAACAAGGTCAGGCAGTTGGACTAGATGATCACTGCAGGTCCCTTCCAACCGAACTATTCTATCCTAGTCAATCCTAAACAACAGCTCACCTGGAGATGCAGAGGCTTCTTTACAAATCAATAAACATGGTCAGATTACGTGCTTTTATTTAATCTGTTCAATTTCTCTAATTTTGATGCTCTATAATACAAATAGATTAATTAATAATTGAAAGTGATTATTCTGAGTGTTATTTTTGCTGGAGAAAGACAGGAATGAACACCGTGCAACAGAAAAGTCAGTAATTTAATGCTTTAAATATTTTGTTCTAAATGCAGAAGCAGCTTAAATAATTAACTGTAACTGAGGGCTGCACTAACATGGCACACATATAAAAGTAGAAAACGGAATCGTCTGGAGATGAGTTTCACTTACCCCTCATTTTCATGAGGGAATACTTGAGAATGTAAATAAGGCCTACAACACATATGAAAGAACAGGTGAAGGAAACCAATTTACCTATTCTTTCCAGCATTATACATTACTATACAGTATTTGCCTATCCCCAAACAATATGACCAGAAAGCAGTACAAACAATTTATTTCCAGTTCTCTTGCCTAGAGCTTTGGGGTTTAGAGGGCAGCTTTTGAGGGGTAACCACTGTCTGAAGAGAAACCAAGAAACCTTTTTTTTTTCCTGAAAAAGAAAACGATTCTAGAACAAGCAGAGATTTTCCTTGCTCTCCACTGAAGTCCTAACTGCTAACCTTGCTCTACCCCGCACTTATCTATCCTTTGAATGATGTTAATGAGGTGATTATCCTTAACACAGGAAAGAGCACAGGTGTGCCCAGACACATGCTGACCAGCATTATCAGAAACGTGTGCTTTCTCTCATACATACATAAACGTGAAATGGCTGCGATGGCACGTGGCGATAACACAAAGCACCATCCAGGGGAACGGACAAGGGGGCTCAGAGCAGCTCGACACAACATTTTGAGATGTCTTCTGCAAGCCAAGGATATCTGCAATTTAAAGTAAGGGAGGAGGGGGGAAAAAGCTGGTTAAATATCAGTGACTTTCCATCTATATTTCTCTCCACACCCTTCCCCCAACTCTTCTTTGTCCGGTACAGCCTTAATGCAATTTCCTTGTGCAAGAGACAGACAGCCCTATTCCCTCCCTACCTGCTGGCAGAGACCATTATTAAAGATCAAGAACAAAACATTAGTGAGTGTACCTACAATGGAGAAAAGTGGTAACTTTGTCCACAGAGAAGCCTGGAAGGAGAGGGGATATTAAAAAAAAAAAAAAAAAAAAAAGTGTAGAGGAGGTTGTAGCATCCCGACTTCTCTGTACACACCACAACACCGCGTCTGTTACACTGCTTAGGAAGTTCAGACCTATTCAATATAGAAGATAGGCTGATTTGCTTTACCTGAGCACTACCAAATGACAAGATGTTAACCATGATTACAGATAAGGACACCAGTTACCAAGGTATTTGGCATTAGTTTCCCCTGACTAACTTGTAAACACTTGGAATTCTTCTAACAAAAAGTCCACTAGAGCAAATACCCAGCAAACAAGGGACACACAATAAGCAATTTCCCGTGACAGGTATAGCTGAAGTAATACATCTAGTATCACAAAGGAAACAAAGGAGATTAACAAGAAGCCAGTTCTCCCTGACAGTGCTTAAGCCATGAAACCTCTCCTCTCCCTTTTACAAAATTTTGCTTCCTCTACTTGCTTTCCATCTCTCTGCACTATCAGAATAGAGCAAACAACACTGCACAAGCTGTGGTAGGGAGAAGGTATTGAAGAGAGGATAAGGAAAAGCTCATCATAACTGTATTGGAAGACTGCTATTAGTAATACCGTGAAAATTATAGCACCTGGTAGTTCTGCATATGTGTACATGAACACTTGAAGTTGCTTCATTACCCTGCATCAGTGTATTGTTATTATACCTCATTATAATCTTCACCAAAACATACACCTCTACGTAAGACAAGGCTGCCGCCAGCAGATAACGTTCTCCTGTTTTGCCTAGTAAAGATTAAATAGCATGGCATTTTAACAATATTAATCTGCAATGTCCCTCCAGTTCTGTATTTCATCTGAAATGCAGTGTTGACCATTGCCAGGATAAGCCAGACAAAGGACTTGGAGCAGATGATACAACTGAGCACGCAGTTCAAATTCTCGTTAACAGGGCAAGCTTAAAGGAGCTTGTTAACACTACCAGCTAGACGTGCCCTCTTTGAACCTCCCCCAGGCACCTCATACACATGCCTCTGGGGGACACAACAATTCCCACTGTTCATGTGTCTGGCTGTTTGACCCTTCCACCTTGAAGTTCACCCTGGCATCTACTGTCAGCCATCATCTTTCCAGTAGGGTCTTAGCTGTTTCTCAGAGGGATGCTCGAAGTCCAGCAGCTCCTGGCTAACAGCAGGTTCTTTATCCAGAACCCCTTTGACCACAATTATCCTGAATAGAATTGCCTGTTCCTCTGGCAGCTCCTTTCATGGACCATCTGCCTTAGGGAACAGAACCTTCTGCCTGAAGTTCCCCCCCCAGTTCCTGTTACAGGCCTTCCTGTCAGGCCTTCAACTCCCACTGCAGTAGTAATCACCTGGTGTTGCGCTGTCAGTAGAACACAGACCCACACTAGCTATATCAAGCTGTGTTGTCTCCTTGGTTGCTCGTACTGATCTGCCAGAGAACCACTTCACATTCTCACTAAGGGCTGCTGGCAACTAAGAGCAACCTTGTCTTTTGGAAGACTGCCCCTCATTTCCCTTTGCCACAGACAACTTTGCTAATGAGCAGACAATGAGGAGTGAGTGAGAAGCGGCAGACAGCGCAGACCTTTTGAAGGAAAAAGAATAGGAAGAAATAATAAATAGCACTAGCACATTTTTGAAACTAGCTTGTGAGAAAAGGCAAAAATACTAAGTTAACAAGAAGATAGAAAAAAAAAAGTAAAGCAGCAGCAGACATCATAGAATCATAGAATGGTTTGGGTTGGAAAGGACCTTAAGATCATCTAGTTCCCACCCCCCTGCCATGAGCAGGGACACCACACACTAAACTATGTCGCCCAAGGCTCTGTCCAGCCCGGCCTTGAACAGCTCAAGAAAAGGAGATACGTGAAATGGGAATGATGCTGCCAGAGAGCACAGACAGAGCACAAGACACACTGTAAATTACAAACTGTTTTTCAGGCTAGTATGAAGCTGCAGGAAAACTCCTTTCACTCCTCTCACTCAATAAAGGATTTGATTTCAATCATCATTTTCCATTCTACTCTCCTTTCCACAATTTCCATGCCTGAGATGGTTCTGGTCTTCAGTGACAAACCAAAAAAAGGTACATAATTGAGGGAAAAAATAAAAAATTTAAACTCTTCTGCCTTACTTGGAGGGCAGGGAGCACTAACATGAAACACAACATGCATTATTCAGGTATTTCTCCAAAACGTATCAACTTAAAAATCTATTTTTTCCATTATGAGGAAAACCCACTCCCTCCAAACCAGTCTCCAAAACTGACTTTTAAAAATATAATTCTCCCATCGTCTTTTTAATAAAAATTATTCTTATATTATTGCTTACAGAAAGCAATACTATTGTCTAGTTTTCATTAATTTATGATCTTCGGAACAGCTGTTAAAGTAACACAGTACACTTACATTCAGTTCAAAATCAGAGTAAGGTGACTTTGTCACCTTCCCAAGCACCAGAGCTGTAAGATCTAAAACTGATGCCTTTAAAAACAACAATCTAAACCTCTGATTTTTCGGTCTGTTGGCTGCAGGCCCATGTAATGTCCAAAACCATTTACAGTGAGTTGATAAAATTGAACAAACTTTTTTCACAGTTTTATATACAAGGAAACCAAAATCCCATAGAAAGTTACATGGAGATAAATCGAGGGTTTGTCTGCTTGTTTGGGTTTTTTTTTTTTTTTTTTTATTTAAACAGCTTTGTTACCAATTAAAACTTTTGTAAGAAAACTTTAATCTGCATTTCTTGGTCCAAGCTCAGAAACAAGAAACCTTCCCACAGGCAAGCCAGTTAAGAAGAGCTGACCAAAATAAAGAAAAGCTTCAAATAAATTGTCTTCAAAACAGTTCGCACATAACTTTGCCCAGGTTCTATACAAGCTACACACACAGAGACCAGGGAATTCAAAGCAACATGTACCACGCCATTCCTTTCTACCACGGACCAGCAGGAGTGTGGTCGTGGCAGCCTGCAACTCTTGGCATTGCCTTGTGCAGCAGAACAAAATCCTGTCACTGGCCTGTTAGAACAGTTCTAAGTATCACTTTCCATCTGGTATCTCAATAAAGAGCATCTGCTGAAGTTTGGTATCGTTCTGTTCTACCGTTTGTGTGAGTTAAACAGAACAAGCAGGGCTGTACAGCAGCAGCACTACAGACAGCACCAGGACCTCCTGCCCTGGACAGAGTGAGCTGAGGAACCGCACAATTCACACTAGGAGACAGCAGCACCCACTCGGGCGCAGACAGGAAGTTCAGCCTAATGAAATGCAACGGCAAACTACTTGTTGCCCCTGCATCAGTGACACCTGCAGGCGTCGCGCCTCGGCCGAGCACGTAGACTCAGAATTCCCGTACCTGATCCCTCATGACGA